AAGGGACAAGGTGCACCTCTCACAGGAAAGAAATTTCCTGTAATAAATACAGACAGGAAAAAGATGATGAGAATAGAGCAGTTTTCTGATTCTAATTAGTGCTTCACACTGAGAATATCGTGAGCATAAAGCATCTTGCAGAATAAAAAATTATCAGGACAACAGCAGTCATCAGTTCAAGTAATAAAAAGGCACTTAGGTATTAAAAAAGGGAATCTAGAAATAGATTTATTTAATGGGACTTTTTTCCTAGAGAAAGTTTAGCATTTCCTGCTGTACTGATGTTTATGTGAGATAAATATAAAGTATTATCAGTTGAACAGCATTAGTTGCCACTGAAAGCCTCTATCTCCTTCAGCTGAATCTGCTTACCACAACTAAAGTAACTGAGTGATGCACTTGCTCAGATTCCAATTCAATTTAGGGAAAGGGTGGAAATGAAATTGCTCTTGGCCTTGATTAGTGTTGAAAATATTGATCAAATGGCTTATCTATCAAAAATGAAAGGCTTGTGAGTGTTCTTTGAAGATAGAACATTGGTGAGGATCTGAGGGGATGATTCTAATACGTTTTTTTTTTTGTTTTTGTATGGGGACCAATGTCTGCTAGAGAAGGCTGTACTGAAAAAAAAAAAGAAAAAAAAAATGATATATTTTTTTAAAATGTTGCTTTTCTTGTGTATACACACATGTCTATGTACTCTGTTGGTCAGCAGAGCCCATTCAAGGTACAAATTGTGTCCAAAGGGGGACAGGGATAGCTCTGGAGCACAGGGCCTGCCCAGCTGCAGTCCCTGCCTCTGTGGCCATTTCCTTCTCACAAACACTGCTCACCTAAAAAACGTGCTGATTGCATTTCCCTTTTTTTCTGTTCTTGCTGGCCTTTATTGCAATAAGCACAGCACTGGCAGTTTCTTTGTTGACATATGTGGGATAAGATATGACAATACATTATTTCACTGAAAATTTGCCTCAAAGGATTATCCCTCCAGGGTGAAATGATTGTTTCCTCTGTTTCAGATTAACCATGCTAGCAAGGAAATATTTCATGCTTCATTACTACCATTAATCTTCCAAGGTGCCCCTCTGAATGAAAATCCATTGTTTTCTTTAACAGAGAGGGACACCAGTACAAGTTATCCCATGTAATTATACTTCTAACAGATGTATCTGTCAGGTTGCTCAGTGCTTGGTAACATAACAACACTGAATATTACATTGCAGTGTAAAATACTCTCAACTAGGTATGCAGACCTGCAGTTTTTCTCTTAACTCTAATAAAAAGGTGATGGTACTTCATCTGCTGGAGTGCACAGGGAAGTGTATTTACCTTGCAAGACCGAGGGAGACTCACCTCTGATGCTGTGGCAAGAACACCCAAGGTAATGGAATGAGACTGGAAAGCAGGAGAGGGAGGTGAAGTTCAGAACCCTTTGGACTTGGGAGCAAAAAATCCCTTTTTCTGCGGAGATAGGACCAGGATCACCCAACGTTCCCTCTGGGTTTGCTCTCTGGTTTGTGCTGTGAGTGGTGGTGTGAGTCAGAGGCTGCAGTTTCACCTGGGGCACTCCCAGACCTGCTGCCCCTCCTGCATCCTGCCCCCTCTGGAAGGCAGCACTTCACCTTCTGCAGCAAAAGGAACAATAATTTGCAGATGCTGCTCGCTCATTTCTTGAGGTACTCAGGTATTTCTGTGAAAACCTTGCATGAATTAACGTGTGGGATGTGCCAAACCCATTGTGTTGCTAGCTATCATTTCTAATTTCATCCTTTTCTTCTCCAAGCAGGAATACTCAGGTGTAGGAGAGCACTCAAGGCAGAGGAGGCAATAAGCCAGTGTGTTTGATTAGCTGTGTGTGCTGTCCTGTGAGGATTGCACAGTCTTGTCAGTCCTGCTGCTTCTTCCAGGCTTTTGTGTTATTTATTGCCCATAAAGCAAATCAAAGCACTCCTTTGCCACAGCCACTGAAGGGAGGGCTTTGAATGAAGTGCTTTGCCTCTTAAAGCTCTCCTTGTGATACCTTCTGAGATTTCGAAATGCTTATGCAGGAATTGTCACTTACACTGAGGTTTTACAGTGCTTAGCAACTTTCAACCTGATCTGAGGATTGCTAAATAATAATTACATCATTCTCTTCTGTTCTCTTTCTGTTCCTTTTGCTCCCACATGTACCCATCATGCTCCTACAGTTTCCAAGTCAAATATTAATGTGCTCACACGTACTGGAATTAAGTTTGCATTCTGTATTACAGCTTAGCTAACATGCCATTAGCAGGCACTGGGGTCTCTCTGCTCCCAGCTCAGGATCCTTTTTCTTCCTGGGAGTGGGGACAGCAGACTGGGGAGCACAGAATGGATCCCTGCCCTCAGATTCCAGGTACCAACCCTGGCACCACCTGGGAAAAGGAGGCAAAATCTTTGAAATGCTGGGACAAAGCTTTCCCAAAACACACAGAACTTAAGCTCCAGGCCCTTTTCAGGAACTCCAGAATGGAGGTGTATTTAAGACTTTTAAAAATACAGCTGTGAGAACATATTTTTAAATGTCCTTAATGACAGGGATCCCTACTTTTATTTAGAAAGAAAGATTTGTATTTCTAATAAATGCTTTTTCTGAAGCTGAGTATTTGCAACCTGTTGGGGTTCACTCCTTGGAATCAGAGGTTTACACATCTGGAGATTTATCACACTGCTTGAAATGGCTGTGATTATAATAAACCATGAAAAAATTAAACCTGAAGATTCTTTTGACAAATTAGTTAGGCTCCTGCTTCCTTTACTCTGCATACTCAGGGCAATAGATTCTGGTGCTCATGGAGAGATGAATTTTAAATTAGTGTGAATACCTGGGCTCATAAGGAATCGTGCATCAATTTTAATTCTCAGCTGGAAAGCAGAATGCAAGTTAGTCATTTCTGTCTCTTATATCAAAAAGATTTTAATCCCTTTCAAGTATCTTTCTTTTCCTATATTTAGAAAACAGGTTTCCTTGTCCAAATCTTTAGAGACAGGTTAGAATTAGTTACTGTAAAAAAAAGGGAAAAATCCTACTGATTATTTTTATTTTTCAATGCATCCAACTCTTCTCTCCAGTAGTGGTGTCATAGCACAGAGCAAAACCTGGAGCTCCTTAAGAGGCTTAAATGTATATAATGATTTCTAATAACGACTGCAGGATTGTCTTTATTGGAGTTTTAATGGGGATCAATGAGGTTAGACTGGGGAATATAAATTAAGAAGGGAAATTCAGGAGGTTTCCTTCTTCTCTCTCTGAGATATTGTCAGGGCAGATGAGGAGCCCTGCACTGTCAGTCAACAGCCCAGCACTGAGAAAAGGGAAGATCTTTCATGCTCAGCTCTCAAGTGGTCCCTTTTCCTTTGGTTAACAGAATTCCCATTGGTTTCAGGGAGTTTTACCCCCATAATCAAAGTGCATCTCTGGATCAGTCTCATCCTGGGAAA